GTGCTGTCTGCGTCACTCATAGTACGTGCCTATATCGTGCGCTATATCGAACAATTTTTCTATTGATATCGAAGAAGGTGTACCGTCGATAAATATCGATACAGTTTTATCGCCCAGGCCTAATTTATATGTCACTTTTTTTGTTGTTATTATTATTATTATTATTATTATCATTATCATTATCAGTTTTGGAGCTCACCAGTTCCAGTCCTTATTTACTTTTATCACATGAAAATGAGCAGCTTGGACATTTCACTAAATATCTACTTTTGGGTGAATTAATAGGTAGATGTTTGTATGTGAGCACAAATCAAGTAAAATCATTCTGTGAACAACAAAAAATGAAATGATTCTCAGTGACAGCTGCTGATATGTGTGTCACAGGATGAGTGTGTGATGGATCCAGGCCTTCGAGAAAGGGCTCAGATGCTGTTCCACCTGCTGCTGCGGTACACGACAGACATGCTGGTTTGGGAAGAAACCTATGAGCTATCAGAGGAGCTGAAGCCAAAGTGAGATATACAGTTCCTAAAGCCTCAAGCTGGGAAGTCCAAAATGGGCTCCACCTTCATTTTAAAAAGTTAACGTTGTTTAATGTTGTGTTCAGAGTGAAGGAAGACACCTACTTCTGTGTGCTCTACAACGATGAACATCACTCATATGATCACGTCATCTACACGCTTCAGCGCGCGATCGCCTGTGACCAGAATCAGGCCCAAATCTACACTGCACTTATTGACAAGGAAGTGAGTCTTCCGAGTATTCCACATAGTCTTACATGGTCAGCGTATAGACTTTTCATACCTCATGTTATCATGGTTTCAGGGGCGGAAAGCAGTGAAGAGAGGTACTATCAGATCCTGTCAACAAGCCAAGGACAATATCAGGGTAAACATACTGGCTACACTCTTCCATCACACACATTTTGTATGCTTTTTGTAGGGCATATATAGATGGCTTAACCATCTTTGCATTTCCTCTGCAGCGTAACTCAGAGCACATTATCCAGATACCTTTGCGGGTGGAGATTCTTCACACTGCTGTAATGGCTCATCAGAACTTCGCCCTCAGACTTGGCGCATGGTTCCAGAAGATCATTGGCTACTTAGGTAGATGATTAGGAGGAGAAAGTGAAGCGAGATTTGGTTTTTATTTATAACCAGTACAGAATAATTTTTAAGTACTAAACATGACCGTACTAAAATAGCCCTCCTGAATCTCCTGATTACCAAATGAATGAACCAAGTATTTTTATTTTTTATTTGTTTGTTTTATTATTATTATTTTAATCATTAACATATTACTGACAATAATAAAAAACTAGAACAATAATTTAAATCTGATCTCATTTTTAAACTCATAAAGTAATAAAAAAATGTTTTATATATATATATATATATATATATATACATACACACAC